CTTATCTGCCATTTCTCTATTCCTTTTTATGAAACTATTTTTATATCTTCTGCTGTTTACATTTGTATTCTATTCTTCCTTCTCAGTTTCTTGGTCCAACTTTTATGTATTCCAAATCTTCCCAGTCCTCAGATTTGTCACCATTTCTGGCCATTTATAAGGCAATTCTTTTTACTTTCTTTGCCAGTCAGAGTTGATTATCTTTTTTGAGTTTCTGGATCTTGAAGGAATGTATAGTTGCTGTAAGCATTTGTGCAGAGGCCAGGTATAAAAGGTTAAATATTTATAAAATCTAGTAACGAAGCGCACCAGAACAAAGTGCTTGCTGTGCAAAATTAAAATGAGACAGCCTGCTGCTATCAAGGTGTGTAGTGTTTCCTGTGGGGCAATTTGAGTAAGTCCATTAGCAGCTAGGTCACCTGGGGGAGAAACCTGTGATGGCTAAATTAGATGAGAGGGAATGCATGTGAATTACAGAGAGCAGTTGTGCTTCTGAATACTAAAAACAGATCTGAACTATGGTTAAGCATTTTTCTGACATTGCAGTGCATGTTATTCGTGTGATATTGAGAGTTAACTTTAAATTACCATTGGCATGTCATTTGAGTGCTTATTAAAAAGTTCAGTTCTCAAGCTGTTGCTGTTGCAGAGAGCCATTTTCTGCTAATCTTGACTGAACAGTATCAGATTCAGTTTCTTTTTGTCTTCTCAAGTCACTTAAGATGGAAATACTGAAGCAGAGGTATGGTGGTGACAATGTGAGCTCTGTGAATTCATTCTCTGCTCAAATTGTTCAGCATCAGTTGCTCTTGCTGTGGAAGTCTGATGCTTTCTCTCTCTCCCCCGTCCCCCCCCATCCCCCCCATCCATCCATCTACTTTGTGGAATTTACAGGAGGCAGTGAGTAAGTTCAGAGTGGTCTTGTTTGGTCTTTTTCACCCCTCTCTCTGAATGAGATTATGTTATTTGTATTTAAAATAATATTCTGTCAGTGATGGTGATGCTACTTGACAATAATTTCTTTCTTCAAAGGTATCCAAGGGAAAGAAACCAATTAATGGAACTTCCAGAAGATTACAGTTGTGTTCTGAATCAGGGTTCTCAGTACAAGTGAGTCCATTAATCAACTTTGCGCCTCAATTTTACCATTTAATACACTACTTTTTTATAGTTCTTGCACTGCAAAAAGTGGAAGAGCTTGTAGACCCACGTTTTGATTTTGAAAATATAGCTTAACAATTGACATTCAGGTTGGATGGAAAACTCTTCTGAGCTGGCATTTAGAAACGTTTAAACACTGTTGGTTGTTTTCACATTACATCTCTTTCTATTAAGCTCCTGCTCTTGTTGCTGTGCTGTGAGCTAAGAGAGCCAGGGCTGCGTGGCTTTGCATGAAAGTGACACTACTTCACAGAATAGATCTCTTTTCTAAGCCAAGAGCTAGAGCTTGGTGCATAATGTACACTGATCGGCAGCGCCACAGTGGTTCTATACTAACTGTGAGCAGATTTGCTTTCTCGTACCCATGTCGCTGAAGAGGAGGCAGCTTACCCTGACGTCAAGGAACTCTTGTGGCCAGAAGTGCGAACATGACCCTATACTGCAACCATTCTTGAGTTGGATGTTAGCTTCAAATACTGTCAGACAGTAATACCTGTCATTGCTGGATAGCTGCTCAAGCAATCAGGTAATTACTTGGATTTTTTTTAAAAAAAAAGTTATTCGTGGGATGTAGCCATTACAGTCTAGGCTGGTATTTATTGCCCAGAGGGCAGTTAGGGTGAACCAGAGCCAAGACTGCTGAGAGTCCAGTCTCACGTGGGCCAGACCAGGTAAGGACAGCTGATTTCCTTCATTAAAGGACGTCAGTGAAACACAGTTTTTATGACAATTGATGTAGTTTGATGGTCACCATTAGGACAATTTTTTTATTCCAGACTTCCAACGTATTCAGGCTTCATCAACTGTCATGATGAGATTTAAATCCACATCCCCACAATATTAGCCTAGAGTTCCAGATTAATAATCCAGTGACATCACTGTCTCCCCTATGATCTTCATTATAGCACAGAATGAGTCTATTAAACTTGTTAAGCGAATGCTTGCTCTTGAATGACAGTCAATTAATTAGTTCCTCTCCCTCACTCTTTCCCTGTAACTCTACATGTGTTCCTGTTCAACTCCAGTTCTGTTTGAAAGCTGCTACTGAGTCTACTTCCACCACTTTTTCAGCCAATGCATTCCCGATTACAACAATTTGCTTTACAATAAGATTCTTGCGTGTCCCCACCCCATTTCTTTATTTACTGCTGTTAGGTCACTAACGTTCTTGCCAGTGGAAATGTGATACTGAATATTGAGGGGAGGGTGATGTGTTATTGGTGGGACATTTACAGAGCCAGAATTTTGAGCAGATTTCTACAATATCTATAACAGGTGCTCGAGATCCTCTGATGATGAGACCAAGAATTTAGCGCTCTGCATGTTCTGTGGAGCCATGCTGTGTTCACAGTGTCGATGCTGCCGGGAGGAAATAAACGGAGAGGAAGTTGGAGCCTGTGCAGCTCATGCCATAAACTGTGGATCTGGTTTGGGCATGTTCCTCAGGTATCTTACCATACACACTGAGCGGTGACTAGTTTCACACCTACTTCTACAGCATAGAGATAGCATAGAATCACATAGAACAGAAGCAGACCATTTGGCTCTTTGTGTCTGTGCTCTCAAATTATATCCACTTGACTACTGTTTTTCCATAATGCTGCAAATATTCCTTTTCAAGCATATGCCCAGTTCCCTTCAATAGCTATTGAGTCTGTCCTTTCAGACAGGTCATCGTTTTCTTGATCAAAATATTTAATTTTGCTTCTCCGCGAGTAAGATCAGCCTAATCTGATACAAAATGATTGGTAAACTTAACATAAAATTGCAGAGTATCAATTCCACAGTGAATGTGTAATGGACCATTGCTTCAAATATAGGGACAACAAGGTGCAGGGCTGGATGAACACAGCAGGCCAAGCAGCATCATAGGAGCAGAAAGGCTGATGTTTCGGGCCTAGACCCTTCATCAGAAAAGGGGGAGGGGAAGGGGGTTCTGAAGTAAATAGGGAGAGAGGGGGAGGCGGATAGAACATGGATAGAGGAGAGGATAGGTGGAGAGGAAACAAACAGGTCAAAGAGGCGGGGATGGGGCCAGTACAGGTGAGTGTAGGTGGGGAGTTAGGGAGCGGATAGGTCAGTCCAGGGAGGACGGACAGGTCAAGGGGGCGGGATGAGGTTAGTAGGTAGGAGATGGGGGTGGGGCTTGAGGTGGGAGGAGGGGATAGGTGGGAGGAAGGACAGGTTAGGGAGGCGGGGACGAGCTGGGCTGGTTTTGGGATGCGGTAGGGGGAGGGGAGATTTTGAAGCTTGTGAAATCCACATTGATACCGTTGGGCCGCAGGGTTCCCAAGCGGAATATGAGTTGGTGTTCCTGCAACCTTCGGGTGGCATCGTTGTGGCAGTGCAGGAGGCCCAGGATGGACATGTCATCTGAGGAATGGGAGGGGTAGTTGAAATGGTTTGCGACTGGGAGGTGCAGTTGTTTATCGCGAACCGAGCGTAGGTGTTCTGCAAAGCGGTCCCCGAGCCTCCGCTTGGTTTCCCCGATGTAGAGGAAGCCACACCGGATACAGCGGATGCAGTATACCACATTGGCAGATGTGCAGGTGAACATCTGCTTGATGTGAAAAGTCTTCTTGGGGCCTGGGATGGGGGCGAGGGAGGAGGTATGGGGGCAGGTGTAGCACTTCCTGCGGTTGCAGGGAGAAGTGCCGGGTGTGGTGGAGCTGGAGGGGAGTGCGGAGCACGGAGCGGACAAGGGAGTCACAGAGAGTGGTCCCTCCGGAAAGCAGATAAGGGTGGGGAGGGAAAGATGTCTTTGGTGGTGGGGTCGGATTGCAGATGGCGGAAGTGTCGGAGGATGATGCGTTGGATCCGGAGGTTGGTGGGGTGGTACGTGAGGACGAGGGGGATTCTTTTTTGGTTCTTATTGCGTGGACGGGATGTGAGGGATGAGTTGCGGGAGACGTGGGAGACACGGTTGAGGGCGTTCTCGACCACTGAGGGGGGGAAGTTACGGTCCTTGAAATAATTGTTTCCAGAAGCTTCCCCACCATCTAAGATAAATTGCCTGGTCTGTAATTGCTGGGATTATCATTACAAGCTTTCTTCAACCAGGCTGTTATGTTGCAGTCCTCTAGTTTTCTGGCATCTCTCCCAAATCTGAGACTGAAACATTGTGGGCAGTGTCTCTGCAATTTCTGTCCTCCCTTCCTTCAAAATCCTTTGCATCTCATCCAGTCTCTGTGCCTTGTCAAGTTTAGGTGCCAGTAGTGTATCCAGGACTTTTTCCTTGTTGATTTTGAACCCTTCTAGTGAGTATTTCCACAGATGCAAAGTATTCATTTAACACCTCATTCATCCCCCCGCTTCCATTTGCCAACCCTGTGTTGGTGAAGAGTCACCTTGGATCGCTTCTGGTTGGATTACGTTGCCCCATACTGAATGCATTGGCAGACATCTGCATTTGACATGGTTAGGCCCACACAGCAGCATTGAGTTACAATTGGTCAGTCAGCAGCTGTAGCAACTGGACCCCAGCAAGAATCCAATACCTGTGATAGATTTGACAAGAAAGGAGAGTATAAAATGTAGCTACTCATCTAAATGTTTCTTATCGTTTGTTCCACCAGGATACGGGAATGTCAAGTGCTACTGCTGGCAGGGAAAAATAGAGGATGTTTCATACCTGCTCCCTACCTGGATGATTATGGGGAGACTGATCAGTTGCTTAAGTATGACTTTCAAAATAGTTTATCCTTATCTACTAATGAATATGAGTTGTGTAGCTATGTAATATCTTTTTCTCGCAGTAGTGAATGTGGACTGAGCACATTATAATAGATTAAGTGTAATCTAAGATTAGCACCTCTATAAATGCTAGGAAAAGCATTAAGATCTCTAAATCTGAATGACTGACACCAAACACAAATAAAGTGATGGATTAGGGAAGGGCAGAAAAGACTGTTGTTCCTCAATTAATATATTGTTGGATTGCTACACATTCATCACCTTTTTCTTTTCCCCCATGGTGCCTCCACAGTCACTTATTGTTGGATCTCAGCCAAGCTCTTCCTTTTCACTTACACTATCTACATCAGTAACCATGAAGTGCTGCAAAAAAATCCTTTTTTAAAAATTGAGCAACTTGAGAAATTAAAGCCTACATATTTTGAAACTTTGTACTTTTTTCCTAAAGGAGAGGTAACCCCTTGCATCTGTGCACTGAGCGATACAAGAAACTCGAGCGTCTGTGGCAGCAGCATCGCATTCTGGAGGAGATCACAAGAAACCAGGACACAAATCAAATAGTCTTCGGTTCTGAGTGGCAGCAATTCTGAATACAGTAGCTGACCCACCATGCTCGACAGCAGAAACACCACTAACCTGCTGTTAGGATAACGTCAAAGGCTAGCCTCTGAGCTGATTAAATTGATGTGGACTGCTTTTAATCTACTGTCTATAATCCAGTTTCAGCATTCGGATCTTATCCACAGGGAAGCCAACTTCTATGGTAGCTTCTGGCCTTTTTTGTACAGCCTGTCCTTTGGGACAAAATCTACTAGGGTGCTGTAGACTTTCATAGGGACTGGGGAGGGTCATTGGTGTTGATTTGTCAGTGAGGAAGAGACCTGATCGTGCGGGGGAAATATTAGAAATTTGAAAATATTAACGTCATTCCTCCTTTACCCCTCTCCTCTATGCAAGCTACTTTCTTTGTTGCGTACTACACCACAGGGGAAGGCATGTCACTGTTGTCATGACTATTTCAATGTGAAGAGCATTTGAAGTAGTGAGAAGCCAGAACCACCAACTGTGATATTAGTACCTCTCTTCTATCTAATGCTCCATCCTGTTTACAATAAAGGCGTAAAATAAATTTACAATACACAGCTATCTTCAGAGCACATTTGGTACCTGGGTAAACATGTAGTTTGATCACTCAAGGAGTTGAGATTCACATTTATATCCTTATAAAATTCTGCACTGACAGGAACATTTTGATCAATTGAATGAATTTTGAGGAGTAAGCAGCACTTTGCAGTTAGAACTGTATCCAGTTTTGCTGAAATTCTCTCTGAAAATCAATTTTGTTTATAATGCAGAAGATACCCCCCCCCAAACACTTCTCGGTAAGGGTTAATTCAGCTTCAGAGTTAGTGCTGACAATGTTTGGAAAAATTGAGGAGGGCCTGATGAAGCAGGGGAGCTTGTTATCCTCTGTTAAAATTCAGCAAGATTAAACCATTGTAACCTGAGAGAGGATGGTAGTATTTGCATTTAACAAGTGTTTAAGGTTCTGACCAGTTGCAGAAAGGTTCATATTGTAAAAATCTATTAGATGCCCAGGTGTGATATGCATGCCTGTCCAATTTCATACAACACTATTATGAAAGTGATGCCCATTTGTATTGTGAAAGCGATGTTGGATTTAGGAGAGCTCTTAGCCACTCGTCACCTTTTGAAGACAACAGATTCTGCATTTCTTCCTTCTCTATCTGAAGCAGGCTGTGATACCACTTCTGGCAATAACTGAAATTTCAACAGATATAAAGATAATTACAAAGGAAAATTATACCAAATGCTGTGTTTTCCTTTTTATTTTGGAGAGGGAGTATATTAAATAACATTACCAGATGATAATTACACTGTTTGTTTTTAAATCACATTATTAGGTTGCTGGCAGTTCATCACTGCTGTTGCTTGATGTTTCACAACAGTTAGCATGATGCCTGGAGTTAGGTTTCTAGACTACGTTTCAAATTTTAAAGGACTACTAGAAGATCCTTGAATCTGAAGACCTATATTGTAGTGTTCTAAAAGAGCTGGCTGCAAGCATAGTGGATGCATTGGTTGTGATTTTCCAGAATTTTCTAGATTTCAAACCATTTCTGCAGTTTGGAAGTTGGCGAACATAATACTGATGGAACTCCAGAAAGGAGTAAGAGGGAACTTCAGTCAAGTCATTTGTCAGGAAAACACTGTTCATATTATTGCTATTATTAAAGAAGCCTTAATAATCACTTAGAAAATCAAAGCATGATGAGACAGTCAGCATAGCTTTATCGTCAGGAAATCATACTTGACAAATTTATTAGAGTTTTTGGCTAAGAAGGGTAGATAAAGGTAAGCCAATTGATGTAGTATTCTGAATTTACAAGAGCTATTCAATAAAGTCCCATGATAAGGACTGACGGAGTTGGGACAAATGAGGCATTTTAAAAATGGCAAATTGCAATTAGTAGAGTGCCACAAGGATTAATGCCTCAGCTATTCATAATATGTATTGATTACTATTGGTTTCTTTGTCTAAATTATGTATCCAGGTTTCCTGCTGCAAGCTGAGGAGCACACAAAGGTATCTAGACTGATTAATTGATTGGGCAGCAAGATGGTTGACAGACTGTCATGTGGAGGTGTCTAAGGTAACAAGAATACAAAAGCAAAATTCTTTTTAAAGCCATGAGACTTTTAAATGTTTGCATTCAGAGAGACCAGACCTGGCTACTTTTGAACAAGGAGCACAAGCTAGTGTGAAGAGAAAATACAGCAAGGAATTACAGAGGTAACCTGCAATATCCCTGAGCACTATGTTGCATTGTGAAGACTGTCAGTCAAGTGGGCTCTTTCCTGGGCACTGTTTTATAATTGGTTGAGTGAAGTTGCACAGGAGCTACATGGATCAGATCCTACAAGAGTTGAGTATTTCTCTCCCTTTCTGGTTTGCTTGCTGCTGTCCATAGTAATCCAGGCAAACATTTGTAATTACCTGAGGATAATGTTGTCAGGGTGAACATATAATGAGCTGTGGTTTGCAAACGTCAGTGTTTCCGGTCACTAGTCATTACCCAGTGGAAGTGATCTAAAATCCTTTTGTTAATCCGGTTGTTTCAGTAATCCTCGAAGCAATAAAATATTGTATAAGGAAACATGTAGTCCTTTTTTTAAAAAGGAAGCATTGTTGTTGAATTCAGAGGTGGTGGAGACTGTATATGTTGACACTGCTTTTGTTAATAGCTCAGGCCACGTTGATATTGTGTTCAATAAAGTAATCTCTTCACCTCAAAGTGAACGTAAATCGGTGTGCTTACACTAATGGTGTATCTGAAATTAACATAGCTAATGCCCTTCACAAAAGCCAGGACTTGAATTTCTCTCTTGTTATCATTAACGAAGGCAACTTTTGTTTGTGTCATTTAAGTCTTTTCCTATTTAATAATTCTTAACAAAAGCTATACCGAGTGTTCTGTAGTAATCACTCAATCTGCTGGCCTTATTCTTCCTTCAGGATTATTGTGATATTTAAAATTATCTTGTCATTTGAGCAGATATTGCTCATCCTTAATTGCCCTTCAGCTGAGTGGCCATTTCAGAGGGGAATTGAAAATCATCTACGTTGCAGCGGGTCTGGTGTAAAATGTAGGCCAAACCAGGTAAGGAGGGCAGATTTCCTTCCCCGAAGGACATTTGTGAACCAGATGAGCCAGCTTCTGTGACAGTGACTACATGGTTGCCTTAAGGAAAGCCTTGATTTACAGATTCTTATTTAATTCAAATTTCACCATCTACCATGGTGGGGTGACAGCTGGGTGTCTGGATTGCTAGTCACTGTGCCAACACCTACCTCCCTGCTGGTCTACCAAGCAGTGTCCATATCCCATGAACAAATAAAGAAGAAAACACCAGAGCAATAAGTTGTCTAACCTGAATTTTGGGAATGAATCCCTTTCTTGCCCCGCTCAGATTCTGGTTTTGATCATTGTCTCAATGCAATAGAAAGTTGAGCATTTCCTGTAAACCAGGAAACCCTCTTCCATTTTGGTGACGATTTGAGGTTGTTACACAGATAACTTCTGCTATAAGTATCTGTCAGCCTTGGCTGTGATGCCCAGTTCAATTTATTACACTGTGTGGGGGAATAGTCTGAGCTCACCAATGAAAATAAGAGTGTGTCAGAGGACGCCATTGCAACTCTATCCCAGTAGGTGAGTCAATGCCCTCAGAAAACAATGGGAAAGAATACACCTGAGGTGCCTTAGGTTTCAGACAAATTTGATGTTTGCAGTCTTTGTCCATTTCTTAGGGGTAGCTTATCAAATTGAACTCTTGCAAAAAGAAAGGAGAGTCGAGACATGGCACTCTTCACTCTGTTACCATTGATGATGCATTTTGCCTGATAGGTTTGTATGGACTAAAACTGCTTGATGTCTAATCCATTTTTGAGTTTTTCATGAGTCTCTGTGAATTGCCATGATATACAGGTGACAGATCAGTGTAGACTTGAATGATATGTTTCAAAAACCTGGCATGATTCCTGATTGTTTGTGATTAATATGTCTTCTCGTGTAAGTTTTTTCTATCTATTAGAGTAATCCTCAGGACAATGTGAATCTTATGTAAATATATTGCTTGTGTTTACTTATGCTAATTCAAAATAATCAAATTGCTTTTGTACCTGTTCTAATTTGAGGGAAAGTCTGAGAATTTCTGATGGAGTAGAAAATCAAGTGTTGTGATGTGACCACAAGTTTGTGTTCACAGGAGGATGTCACATAGGTACAAACAAAAAGGGAAGAAATCATTTATTTACCTCCCATTAACTTGCTATTTAAGGTCAATGTCACTTATTTTCACTTATTGGAAGACTTTATCATTTAAGGGGAATGGTGTCTACCGAAGAGGAAGGCATGTGTGTAATGCTTCTGTCCTGGTATCATCTGCAAACAGCACTGCGTTTTTATGCTGATTCATTCATTTGCACCATTAAAGTCATGTATTGGTCACGTCTTCATGTATACAGTACCACTTTAGTTCATAATGGGAATGTATTTATGGCAATAATTTAAATATTGTGCTGCTCAGATTAATAACAGTATCTGTTCTGTGGATTAAAAGAATGGAGTTTACTGTGATGTCTTAATTTTATCTTCAGAAGTTTATGTAAAGGTGTGAACTGTTTCTCGTTGATGGGGGAAAAGTTTGATTTCTATCAGTGTGACGTATTTATACTTTTTGATAGACAAGGAGAGAGAATGGATCCAATGTGGGTAGATGCATTTAAGGTGAAGATAAACCTTGAATGGGAGCACAGGTCTGAATAGCCTACTCTTGATCTTGTCTGATATGGTAGAAGCTATGAGCATTAAGTCAGTTTCTCCTCCTATATCATGTTTTGGTGAAGGATTTGTACTCTACTCTGGTACTCCTATCACAGATTCCCCGCTGGCCCTACATATAGTACCTTTTATTGCTTAAGTTCAGTGCCAGAATGTAGGTGCCACTGACAGCGTCAGTTGTTGCTGCCCATCCCACCTTTTTGAATTACAGCATTGGGTATCTTGATAGACCACATCAGAGGGCAGTTGGTCTGGGACAGGAGTCCCACGAAGACCAGACTGGGTGAGAGTGATGCATTTCTTTCTGTACAAAACATTAGTGAGCAAGTTGGGTTTTTATGACAATCCGGCACTTAACAGTTCACTTTTTTCATTGAGCGGGCAGGAGTTGTGATGGAGCAGGCTGGAGGTGCTGAATTGCCCGCTCCTGCTCCTAGTTTTTAATGCCAACTTCTTACATTTCCAAATATTCAATATTGAAATCAAATTATCGCAATTTGATTTGAATGATCATTCTCTAGATTAGTAGCCCAATGACACACGTTAGGTTACCATGTTTCCTGTTGGATTGTTTCACAGGTGCACACTAGTAGTACCCTTCTGCTTTGGTATAGTATCATTTATCTCTGGAACAGCTGAGGCAGGATTCTGGCCTGTTCCCCTACACTCTTCGATATTCCTATCGGTCCAGTAAACAGTGACATTATGCAGATTAAAAAGGTTGGCGTGGTTTTGTTTAAAATGAACTGGAAATTGTAAGTGCAACTTGTCCCCCGTTGTTTGTTCATTAGAACCAGCCAAGCGTTAGTTGCACAAAATCTGAAGTGGGTGATTCCTGGAATGACCTCAGCTTTTAATTATTGCAATGGGACACAAACAGTTCAGTATTCTGTAAATTGGCACCCTTAGTTTAAAATTATAAAACTGCCTCCGGAACGCAGTGCTCTGTGTGAAATTCTACCTCCTCTAACATCAGTGAGATGAAGAAGAACACTGGAAAAGAGTTTCCCATTATATTGCCAACGAGATGGAAGGCAGCAACATTTCTTAAACCAGAAGGTATAAAAACCAAAAAGTTTGCAACAAAGTTACTGAACTCGAAGGATAAACTTGCACCTTTATGCTCCTCATATGACTTAGGTTTACAAGGCAGTTCAATGAAGCTTGTTTCACAATTTCCAAAATTCTTGGTCTTTTTGATCTCATTTATCCCCCACATGCAACTGAAAGAAAGGACAAGGGGTTCTTTCCAGTGGTGTGTTTGGGTATTTGGTGTTAGCCCCAAGTGTAATTCTTAAACTGATGTAATAAAGATCTACAGATGCTGGAGATCTGACACAAAAAGTAGAAATTGCCGGAGAAACTCGGCAGTTCTGGCAGCATCAGTGGGAAGAAAACAGAGTTAACATTTCAAGTCCAGTTCTGATGAAGCGTCACCAGACTTGAGTTGTTAATTCTGCTTTCTTTCTCCACAGATGCAGAATGACCTGCTGAGTTTCTCCAGCATTTTTTTTTGTTGTTAGACTGATGTGTTGTTTCTCAAAGATAGCCATAATGTGTAGGTCGTGGTGTTGGACTAAGATGGATAAATTCAAAAATCAGACGACACCAGGTTATAGTCCAATAGGTTTGTTTGAAATCTCAAACTTTGAGTGTATGAATTCCCTTTGTCAGCTGAAGTGAGAGAGAAGCACATAGACACAGAATTTATAGGCAGAGAGATCAAGGGCAGGAGATCAAAAGATCATACAAACAGTGTGAGTGAAGTGTCAAATAATAAGTCTCTGCAGGTGATCAAAGCTGTCAGATGGTGTCAGTGAAGTGTCAACAGCTGAATAACAAGTGAAGAGATAACCTGATTAAATGAGGCAGAGATAATTACAAAAAAATAAGGTGGTGCTGGAGACAAGCCAAATGACTGGAATAATATGATAGGTATGAGTTGCATGCTGAGGGTCTAACCAAAGTAATAAGTAATCCAAAACTGTACAAACTGATTAAGGTAGGGAGATCAGAACAGTTTATCAAGGTGACAGGAAGGAAGATTTTACAGATACAGAAGTGTGGTGGGGTCACATGTAGCGTGACATGAACCCAAGGTCATGGTTGAGGGTGTCTTAATGGGTACAGAACTTGGCTTTCAGTTTCTGCTCAGCAATTCTGCATTGTTGAGGTATCTCAAAGACCACCTTGAAGGATGCTTAACTGAAGATTGGAGGCTGAATGTTCTTGACCACTGAAGTGTTCCTTGACTGGGAGGGAACATTCCTATCTGGCGATTGTTGAATGCTGTCCATTCTTCCATTGTAACATGTGCATGGCCTCGCCAATATGCCATGCCTCGGACATCCTTGCCAGCAGCATATGTGATAGACAACATTAGCTGAGTAACATGAGTACCTGCCCTGTATGTGGTGGATGATGTTCCCATGTGTAATGGTAGTATCCATGTTGATGATCTGACATGTCTTACAGAGGTTGCCATGGTAGGATTGTGTGGTGGTGTGGTCATTGTTGTCCTGAAGGCTGGGTAGTTTGCGAACAATGGTCAGCTTAAGGTTTGGCAATTGTTTGAAGGCGAGAAGTAGAGGCATATGTATGATCTTGGCAAGACACTTGTCATCATCCATGATGTTGAAGGCTGTGAAGCGCATGGCATAGTCTGTCCGCTCTGGGGAAGTACTGGACAATGAAGGGTACTTTATTGGTCGTATCCTGTGTTTGTCTTCTGAAGGGGGTTGTTGCAGTTTTTCGCTGTGGCACATCGGAACTGCAATCAATGAGTTAAGCATTGTATCCCATTCTTATGAAGGGGTCCTTCAAAATCTTTAGGTGTCCGTCGCGTTCATCCTCAGGGCAGATCCTATGTATGTGCAGGGCTTTTCTGTAGGGGTTATCCATGGACTTGTAGTACAGTGAGGTACTGAGCTGTCCACCCTTGATGGAGATGCGTGTGTCCAAG